AAACACGGTGTCCTAGGCGCACCAATGCACATGCAATGCAAAGAAACACATAAGTGTAGTCAAAACAAGATATCATGAGTTCGAGTCAAGTTCTCTAACTCCCCAGCAGAGTCGCCAGAAACTGTAGACGTCCCTGAACGTCCCGGGAGGATGAGTCCCATTCTGTTCATTTGGGCTCACCACAGTTCAGGACTCAAAGTCACGGTCCTGTATCTAATCTCGCTGGGTGCAATGCAAGACCGATGAATCATCAAAGAGTCCAAATCTGGCGAATCATTTTTGAAAATAGATCTTTTTTGAAAGAAGTGCCAAACATGGACTGTTTTGCAAGATACAGAGTCGCCACCCAAATATTTTATTTTGGGAAATTTAGGAAACCCTGACTTGTCGCCTAAGGCCACGTGTCCGTCATCACCAAAGTTGCCTCGGCTCGGGAACTTGGGTACGATTGGGGAAGGCCACTTCGTGATCACCCCCGCTCGCCCGATCAAAGATCGACCTCTACTAACCATGATAACAAGTTTTGAAAACATTATGTATTCTTATTCCGGTTATTAGCCTAGATTTGCTATGTGATGCGCACAGCATACAAATATAGACCGCCTGAATTGGATCAACACATCTCATGTTTGTTTATTTTGAAAGTGGTTTGATGGTGCTACCCGCAAGTAGGCTAAGACATGGATTTGCCATCCTCAGGTGGGCTTGAAATAAGGTGATTTGTCATTCTCAAGTGGGCTTAAAACTCACAATTGATGAATTGTTCCAATCCAAATAACCCAACCTTCACCCACAGGCATTCAGGCAGTTGTATCACGAAACCAGATAGCCTCATGGTAAGCATGCTATCATGGCAGTCACTCAAACGCATGCAAGGATGCTAAAGCATAAACAATTACCGAGTACTCCAAGCCAAAACAGAAGCTGATTAGAAATCATGCATGATCCTAAATATACAGAAATGCTTAATGCAACACATGCAAAATGCAACTATAGTAGGCTCGGCTATTCTAAGGATGGCATGTGAAATGCTACAACTAACAAGTATTCAACTCGGAATTGAAATACAATGCAGTTAGTATGATGCGCCGAGCCCGGTGCATGCAATACAGATGAATGATGCAAACATGCAAGCATAAGTATGCTAATTGAAACATGCCCTAATCTAACCATCATAAGCGGGTAAATAAAAGGGAGAAAGACGTGGGGTTGGAAGACATACATCACATGCACGCACACTTATTACAATTGTGCCCTCGCTCGGAGGGTCTAAATAAATAATACAGTCCGAATAAGTACAGTCCGAATAAGTATAAAACCCTAATTAATTAACAATTTAACTAGGAAAACAAGTAAATTGGCATGCAAGATTATGGACCGCCTCAGCTCTGTTCCGAATGATGAAAGATGCATGCTTGAGTTGCCTGGCACGGAAATCCGTTGCGATGCCCCGATTCGCCTCTGTTTGCAATTAATCCCGGAATGCTATACAAGGCTCTGGAAGGCTGTTGATTTCTGATTTGCTGCAACAGAGAGCAAGAAAGGGGCACAGCAAAGTATTTTCACATATGTATGCATGACTACTCTTCAGGGAGTGTAGTCCTCGATCCTCATGTCGCCAATCACGTATCTCGATGCATGATGGCCGAGGAGTTGAATTGCACGACTCGATGTGAAATGAATGCACATATAAACACAACAGGACCTAAACTCCATCATGGGTAATCCGGAGTGTCGGTGACCGGGAATTGAGACACGTTCCGTCACTCAGAGTACGAAACGTCCCTCGTTTCCCATGCTTAGGCTAACTCCTCTCCCAAACATGATGCAAATGAGATGGCATACACAATGCGACTAACATACAACCTAGTCATACGCAATGCTATGAAATGGCATACACAATGCTCGATGTAACATGTCATACACATGCTCTAACATGCAACTCAGCATACACAATGCTATGGACCGAAATGGCATACACAATGCACGATGGACTTACACCACATGAGTGGACCTCAACCACACTCACATCAGTGGCCATTAGATGAAAATGAGACAACCGAAATGTGTGCACACATGCACGAATGCCAAGGACCGAACCTAGGCATGGAATGCCACTCTACCAAAGCGTGGCAAGGATGAAACATGACATGGAATAGCAAAAAAATTACAGCTCTAAAACAACATGAAATATGGTCCCGAAACATGCAAATATGGCACACAATGCAAGCTAGGCGGCCCGGGTACCGAAACTAGTGAAGTGCGTTACATTAGAGGTACCAAAGCAATGCACCAAAGGCAAAACCAACCCCAAATAGATCTAGCAGGTCTGAAACAGTGGGAAAATGGCCTAAAATGATGGCTCAGAATGCAACGGAATGGAGCTCATTTATTGGTCGGTAAATGAGGCATACAAGCCCGACTCTCAAACGCATTTAAAGAGATGAAAATATGGAAACATGGCATTTGTATAAGCTTTGAAATTTGATGAAAAATGACCCCAAGGCATGAAAATACCTCAGTATATGCATGGAATGGATCTCAAAACTCAAAGCTAAGTATGGACCTTGAACTACAAGCATGCGAAACTAACATCATTCAACCACAAGACCCAAAAACAGAGCTAGGGAAGTCCAAAATAAGCACATTATCAGTTTAAGACATGGCCAAAATGTGCTAAAATCAAGGTCCGACAAAGCATGCAAAGAAAGCTAGTGAACCATGAGTTGTTCTACAACTATATGAAGCATATGAGGGCTCACCCAACCAGCCAAAAACAAAAGTATTCCATGTCAAAATATTCCCAAATAACCACTGAAACTCAGTCAATGCATGAAAAAAATGATGGGCTCCTTTGAAAGGCCAATAAGAGGGTTACTCTACACATACATGATGGCCATCAATGATGGCAAAACCACCTCTAGAAATAGGTTATGAAAGCCCTACAACTCACCAAAAAGGCCCAAAATCAACCTAGGAAGCATGCAAATGAAAAACCCTTTGAAAGGCCTTGAGTGAGATTGTTCTATACATGTATCATAGACATAAAATCGGCCAAAGGGGCTCCGAAAAGAGTCAAGAAAGACCTTAAAACTCACAAAATAGGGTCTGAAATGTGACTTCACAACATGCAAGATGGAGCCCCTTTGGAAAGCCAACAATGCTAGTAAAGAGAACAAGGGGTGAGAGGGTCACCCCTCTCTGATTTTGAAGCTCAAAAGCACATCTAATCCACTAAAAATCCACTGGATTTCAGTGGCTAAAAGGCCAAACCAAGGCCAATGCAAATGGTCAAATGCAAGGCTCAAAACGTGAGGAAATGAAGCATGGAAGGGGAACATCACCCCAAACAGAAAAGAGTCCTTAAACAAACATGCTTCAAAGATCAAAACAAGATTTTTCTAGTTTATGGAAAATCTCGAAAATGCTTGCAAGTAAGGCTAAGATATCATGCAAAATAAGCCCTAAAAGAGAGATGAAACATACAAGGATGTAGGAGAGCTCACAGCAGAAAAGTATCCTCAATCAAACTTCAAGAGGAGCTCAAAAAAGACACTTTACAGTTTATAACAAAACTCAGAATGGTTGTAAATAGGGCTAAGCTATGGAGAAAAATAATGCAAGAAAAGGGAAAATGGAGACTTAGCCTTGAAGAGCAGGTTTCCAGCAAATTCTGGACCAAGAAAGGAGTTTTTCAACCTCTAAAAATCAGCTCCAAGATGCTTGAATGGATGGTGGAGGTGGTAGGCTATGAGGTGTAGTGCAAATGGTGTGAGAATATAGGGTTTGGAGCTTGAAAGAGAGAGCTATGGTGGGTGGAGTGTATATGCCTTAGCAAAAATTGTTGAACCTTGCAAATGAAGACAAGCCCTCCTTTATAGGGAGAGGCTCTAAAGCTTTCTCTGGAAGCTCAAATATCCTCCATGCAGGTGTATGGAGGATGGTCCAAATGCCTCCCAGCTGGCACAGTGTGATGCATTCAGAGAGAGCAAAAAGCAAGAAGCAGGCCGACCAGTTCAAGTGGCCGGCCAGCCACTCCCCTGGTCGGCCGACCAGGGGTCAAAATGTTTAAGGAGAAATGCTGGCCGGCCACCCAGAAAGGTGGCCCCCAGATAAGTGCATCACAGCTGTATGGTGGAAAACCAGAAAAAGTGACCTAGGAGAGAGAAAAACCAGCTTTTTGCAAGGTTCAAAAGGGTCAAGAAGAATTACTGGTTGGCCTACCCATATTGGTGGCCTCCCAGATGAGCAAACACAATGGTGGTATGAAAAGCCAAAAATTGTGGCTCAAAAGTGAGATAAACCAGCTTTCTGTAAGAAAAATCGACTTTAGGAGAGAGAAAAAGAGAAAACTGGTTTCCAAGGGAAAAGGTGGCCTCCCACCATACTACCACCTCCCTAGCAATGAAAATAGGGTCCCTGCCAAAAATGAAACCTAACCGATGCAAAACGAGGGTTCGGGGGCCAAAACACACGGTCCGGGGCCCCGAAAATAGGCTGTTAAGCACCGGAGGTGGCGTACGACCACGAAGGTGGTCTCCCCGGGCCATAGTGTCCCTCTAAAGAGAGGGAATAAGGTGTTGCCAAAAATCAGAGCAAACAGACGTAGTCAAGCGGTCCCGAACCGAGGCGCACGACCGATAGCTCGAAAATCAAAACTGGTCTCCAAACGGGAAAAAATGGCCTACGACTACGAAACATATCCTACGTCACTGAGAGATGGTCTACGAGACCTCTCTCTCGCTTTGGGAAGGAAAAACAGAGAAAACAGGACCTAGTTCGCAAACTGAGGCAAAGTACAAAAGAGCCTGGAAGTTCGGAGGCAAGGCTCGCAGCCGAGACTCCGCAACCTCAGAACGACGCAATATGCACTATCACCGAGCGCTCAATTGGTGACGTCTGAGTCTTAAAGGTCGGTCAAAAATGGGGTGTCAACAGATCTTTGTAATTTGCAAACAAAGGAAAATTTTATATTGGCTTATCGATTTCTTGCCTTGTAGGTGGCGAGAAGGATAGCTGAGATTGGTCGTCGCCAATATGATGCTATCAAGCAGATCGGCCTTCTCACTGCCAGAGTGAAGAACAAGAAGGGAAAGGCAGCAGAGGCCTCTCTCAAGGCCGAATCTGAGGCCATTAAAGTGGCGGTAGAGAGAGCGAGGGCCAATGCCAAAGAAGATAAGGCCAAGGCTACTGATAGACTGAGATTGGCCGCCGAAGAGAGGACGGGTGCTAGTGAAGAAGCACTCAAATTGGCCAAGAGACAATTGCAAGTTGGAGGCTGACTTGGAGGAGTCAAGGAGGGCGATGGCAAACGCCGAGTCGAAAAATTTCCAAGTCTTCCAGGCTGGCAAAGATGCGGCCTTGGCTGACTACGCAGAAGAAGTGCCGAAGTTTGAAAACAGGGAGTTCAAACAGGGCTGGTTCAAAGCCTTGGCTGCCGCTAACGTGGTATCGGAGCAGCCGATCTGTACGAGCAGGTAGACGTTGAGCCGCTGGCTCTAACCCCGAAGACTGACAATTGAACATTTTTCATTTGGTTTTTAGTATTGTGTGTATGTAGGTTTTGTTAAATTTATTAGGTTTTTGACTGTTCATTTTTGTTAGAAGCTAATGTAGGGTAGTTTTCATTTGTAAAATGAACTCTATTTATGCTCAGTTTATGAATGAAAATTATTTTTGCTATTTGTGCTCAGTTTATGAATGAAAATTATTTTTGCCTTTCTGCCTGATGATGTGCTTGTTAACAACTGAGTAAGATGTAAAATCATGAAATGAAAAAGAACAAACTGCTGAATTAAACATAACGTAAAGCGCTGCAACTTAGCCGAATATATTAGTGAATATGCCCTTGCCCCAGCAAGTTAATGACACAAGAATGCCAAAAAAGGGTAGTTCAGGAGTTTGCTGGGGCACAATGCAATTTGGCTAAGCTTGATAGTTACGCCGAATAGATTAGTGAATCTGTCCTTGCCTCAAAAAGGTAATGAACAAGCTACCAAAGAACGGCAGTTCAGGAGTTGCTGGGGCACAATGGAAATTCGGCTGAGCTCTAATAGTTACGCCGAATAGATTAATGAATCTTGCCCAGCAAGTTAATGAACACGGCCGCGCATTAATGAACTAGAAGCTGACCCACGTCAGGTTGTGGCGCAGTGCATTAAAGGGAACGGTTTGGGAACCTGCGCCCTCGATTAGTAGTATGGGTGGGGGCTGCGCTTGTTTGGGTTCGTATTAGTGTCCAAATTTGGAAGATCACTAGAGGAAGAAGAGTGTTGGGTTTGAACCAGATGTCTAGAAGGCTATTTTTCAACAGCAAAGGAGAAGGGAGAACGCTTGGGAGTTGGACGTAGAGATGAATCGAGGTGGCGAGTCTATGCGTATGGGAGTAGGACGTTGAGGGATCGTGAAAAATGCTGGCCACGTCGTCGAAGTAGGTCACCCAGAAGGGAAAAACAGCAATGGGCAGCTCCCTCCACCATCTCGAGGGGAGAAACCAGTGCAGCACCGCGCCCATTAAGTTTTGTGATTTTTGTAGGGGACAAAACCTATGACGAAAGTGAACTCGGTTGTGCGTGACCCAAACGTGGCGTCGAGCTTGCTCAACAAATTTTTCCACCAGAAGTCCAGCAGTCGATGGTCGGTCGACCTGACTTCGAAGTGTTTTAAGAGGGCATCCATGGAGCGGTGAAAGGATTGTGTACCGCCTATGAGATCGGCATGTGTCTTCGTGCTGCGTGGCGAGAGATAGAGCAGAAGGATGAATGTATCCGAAGCTTAGAAGCTCGCGTGGAGAAGGCTGAGCGCGAACTCAGAAAAGTCAAACGCCGAGACACAATCGCCGAACAAGTTAACCCGATTGTGGAAGAGAGGGTGACCCAACGGCTCATAAGTCATGCGATTGCGATCGAGATACGATGAGCATGTTTGCAATAGAGGCGCAAGGACCAGAGGCTTGTAAAAAAAGGCTTCCATGAGGGCCCGAAAAGTTGGGAATATAGAAAACTTAGGAAAACCTCACCGAGGTGGTCTGCTGATGCCAGGACTGTGGATTCAAGCACGGATATATCAAGGCACTCCAGGCCACAAAGGCTCTCCGGAACAGGCATTGATTCGGTGTCGCCGCTATAAGTCAGGGTCATCATTTTCCCTTTGCAGCCTTCGAAGTTGAGAAGAGTGATGATGAAAGAGATGCGAGTTAAACTAGACATTGCAACTCTACGTAGATTGGAAGCGAAATTATGTATTTAACGATTAATTCAATGAAACATTTATTTTTAAATGTTTGCATGTTGTTTCAATTCATATTTATACATTCTGTTTTGATCATCTTCCATTTTTCGCCAACTATGTTTGTGCTTTTTAATCATAGTATCACAAAAAATGCACCGAATTCGAGGCTTTATCTTGGCCAACCGTGGTATCCACGAAGGGTGCCTCCGAATCGGAGGATTATTCGGCCCAAAAGTGTTATCACTGATGGGGCTCCAAATTGGAGGCTTTTTTCTTAGCCAATCGTGATATCCACGAAGGGCGCTCTGAATCCAGAGCTTATTCGGCCCAAAAGTTTCACTAATGGCGCTCCAAATTCAGAGGCTTTTATCTGGCCAATCATGATATCCATGAAGGCGCTCCGAATCGAAGGCTTATAACTTGATGAACTGAATTTCACAGTGAAGAAATAAAGAAACTTTGCATTGTAAAAGTGAAATTTGTACATGGCGAACATTCAAAACAAGGAATCATGCCCCATAAATCGGGTTAATGATAGAAATTTATGCAAATGTGTGGAGTTCCAAGACGTGGCAGACTTCTCCCTGACATATCTTTGAGCCGATATGCCCCTATGTCGGCGATGGACTCAATCTGATAGGGGCCATCCCAGTTGGGACCTAGCTTTCTGTCGGCGGGGTTCCTAGTAGCGGGAAGAATTTCTTCAGGACCAATTCTCCACGAACATAACATCGCAGCTGCACATGTTGATTATATGATTTAGCGAGCTATTACTGATACTGTGCCATAGATGCGAGTGCTCGTCTCGTCGTTCTTCAATCAGAGTTAGATCCAAAGCTAGCATCATGATATTACGGCCCAAATCGAACATCTTCGTTTTCAGAGTAGGTAAGCCGATTTCCGTGGGGATAATTGCCAGAGTTCCAAAGCACAGGGCGAACGACATTTCCTTAGTGGACCGCCTTGGTGTAGTGCGATGGGCCCACGACACACTGGGGAGCTCTTCAACCCACTGCCTTTAGCTTTCTCCAACCATTTCTTGATGCCGTCCAAAATGGCTTTGTTGGAGCTTCGGCTTGACCATTGCTCTGTGGATAACCGAGGTGGAAAAATAGGGCCGAATACCATACTTGCTGCACAATTCTCGTAGACGCTGCAAATCAAATTGGGTGCCGTTGTTTTGAAAATAAGTGCTCTTGGAATGCCGAATCGTGTTATGATATTTCTCCATACAAAACGTTTCACATAAGTGTCCCGAATATGCGTTAAGTGCCTCCGTTTCAACCCACTTTGTGAAGTAATCTGTCGCGACAATCAAAAATTGCTTGTTGCCCAGGGCCACGAGGTAATGCTCCGACGATGTCAAGTCCCATTAGGTGAACGGCCAAGGACTGGTTATAGAGCTCAACTCTTCAGCAGGCAAATGGGTTTAAAGGTGAAAACTTCTGGCACTGTTCACATTTCTTGACGTAAACACTAGCATCAGCTCTCATTGTCAGCAAATAATACCCCCTATGTCACAGCTCGATGAGCCAAAGAGTGCCCGCCAGAATGGGCACCACAACTACTCATTGTATTTCAGTCAGGAGTCCCTCCACTTTATCCGGATGAACGCACTCTAGGTTGGACTAGAAAAGGGATTTTCTTGTAAGAGCTTTCCTTGTGGATCGAAGTAGTATCGCAAGGCTTT